GTAGATTCGCTAATTTTCATAAAAACGTTGAGTAACCTCGAAAATCACTTCCAAAATTTTGTAACGTTACCGACCCATTCAATCGCTCATAAGTCCAAAACTACAGGTGATAGAAATAACAGTTTTTCTATGAAATGTGTGTCTTGGGCAGCATTATCATATGAGGCTGTGAGAATGAAAATGGCAATACAGGAATAAACATTCTGAAACGCATCAAGAAAAAAAATTCGCAAAAATGAATCATGAGTTCTGAATATGCAAAAGTGAAACATGAATTTACATGGGCAGCATAGGAGGTTCATGGTTCACTTTTGCGTATTCAGAACTCATGATTCACTTTTGCGAATTTTTTTTCTTGATGCGCTTCAGAATGTATATTTATTTATTTATTTCACCGCCAAAAAAAAAAATATATATATATTCCTGTATTGCCATTTTCATTCTCACAGCCTCATATGCACTTTTAAAATTTTGGGGTTTCGTTATCATTTTCGGAGATATGGGCGAAATAGGCGTGCAAATTGTAACGTTACCGTCCTGACCCTCGCCCATTTGGTGTTGATGGATTGGCGTTTTTATATGACATCGTTGACATTGTGTCGACCATTTCTTTTAAAAAAATGTTATGAAAAGTGTTGATAGGCACCTGAATTGTAACAACAATAGTTTACTCTATTCCTTTGTGGGATCAAAAAACATCTGCAGAATATCTGAAAATTGTGAGGATCATATAAATCAGGCTGATTAGAGTTAAAGCAAATCTAAGTTTTTTATAATATTTGTTTTATTTACATTATTTTTTCAGCAACGAATTTTAAAAAGTACTTTGAAAAATATATCAAATAAATATATGTCCATGACAATAAATGAACATAAGAAGTGAGAAACAGACAAATAACTAATTAAACTGACGATGACTATTGGCTTGGTCCACCAATGTAATCAATCAAAGGCTTCAAATATGAGGTTAGAATTCCTTCTTCGGCTTCTTGTTTTGGATGATAGCGAATGTAGTGTGTGGTTGCTTGTCTGGTGTGTTGAGCTGGATGGTTGACATGGTGATATGGAACGGAATTTTGAATTGGTTGAGTGTGGTGTTGTTGACGTTGTTGTTGTTGTTGTTGCTGTGGTTGCTGCGATTGCTGCTGCTGTTGATATTGCAATTGTTTGTATTTATCAGCAGGGATAGGAATAGGGATAGGTACTGGAATCGCTTGAACTTTGTAACCGGCATCAATAAGAGCTTGGAATTCAGCTTGCGATATGGGCTTCTTTGGACTTGTTATGGGTAATGGGGGTTTTCGAGGCTCCGAATGCGTCTGATGACCAGGTGGGTTTGATTGTGTCAATCGTGGGACCGATTCGTTTTGCCCTAAAGGCGGTAAAACCAATAAGATAATTAAAAAAATTAGTCTTCAGTCTTTGCCTTTGCATGCCATTCTACAGAGTTTCCTCAAAAGTAGTCTCCTGACAATAAAACTGTTCTAGACTTACCATTGTTTTGTGAGACGAAAAGAGTTGATCGTGATGGTTGAATTGGAATTAATAGATCAGACTGTGCTTGTGGAGAAGCTTGAGACGGTTGATGGAACTGTGTACGAACAGGAACATATTGAACTTGTGCAGCTGGCTGGACTTTTATCTTTTTATAGTACTGGGGGGAGTCTGAATATTGAGGCCTATGAACATGTTGCGGAGCTGGTACCGATTTGATCTTCGATTCCTTCAAATTTGCAGCATTCACATTACCATTTGAATCAAAAAGTTCGTATTTCAATTGGCTTTGTGAGCTATCGGAAACAAACCGGGTTCGGGGCGTGGGTGTTGGATTTGGTGTCGTTGAAACATGATGTACATATTGAATCCGAAATTCCGGCTGTCCATTTGGTTTGCTATCACTCTGTTGAGGGCCTGTGGGTAAATTAGTTTGTTCCAGACCAGACTGTTCGAAATTATTATTAGCAATCAATCGTTCATTTTGTGGCGTATATGTTTGGAATGGATGATTTACATCTGATGGATAGTAGGCTTGTTGTGCTTGAATATGCGATTGTGGAACAACAATGGAATATTGGCTCTGGGGTTGAGACGCCTGTTGCTGTCCTGATTTCGATTGTTCGGATTGGGTAATTTGTTGAACGCTTTGATAGTGTAGCGGCTGTGATTGTGCAATGGATTGTTGATTGGATATTTGAGTTCGAGCTGTGCTTGTATACTGATACGATGGTTTGAAACTGATTACTTTCTTTGTTGGCTTTACGATCACTTCTTGATGGTATTGTCCACGAGCTGGATCGTATTTGGTCTTTCCAACGGTTTCATGATACTTTTTCAAGTTCACCCTAACTGTGTCCTTATCGATGGGTGATCCAAAATCTTGAGGCGCCGTTGTAACGAAATGAGCTGGCTGGGAAATATAGTGTAGCGGCTGACGTACAAACTGATGCTGTGAATTTTCTGGCTGCAAATTTGGTACTGGAGATGATGGTGTCGATGGAATATGAGTTCGAGACGTAAACTTTTTGAATTCATTGTTGCTAAATGGGGTTTTTGTTGAATAGGAGTTATATGTGTTGTCTGCAGTGGTAGTTGGAGCTGCTGATACATATCCGAATGGCGCTTTTGAAGTGCTAGTTTGGGAATTTTGCACTAAATCTGTATTTCTAATTAGTTCCAAATACTTATCTTCACTGATCAATGTTTGGCTCGGTGTGCTTTGCTTGGGTGCTAAAGAAGAATAGCTAATTTGAACTCGCTGTGGCGGTGTGCTTTGGTAAGGTTGCACTTTGTTGCGTGGCTCAACAGGCAAATGACGACTGTCGATATGAACTGTATCGGGGCTTTCATTATCATTTTCGATATCGGGAATGTAGTTATAGTAAGACGGTAATATGGATTGCTGCTGCTACAGAAAAGAAGAACAAATAAATCAAAAGAGAATAAATAGAAATTGGAATTCCAGAGCAAAAATTAAAAAAAATTTCATGCAGAATAGTTCAAATTATTTTCTGTGGTATGTTTTTGATTTCAAAAGATTTCAACCTCGGGCAAACGTCTGGCAAACCAATGTGTTTTAATTGCCAACTTAGTAATTTCTCTTCAACCAATACCGCAGTGAAGCATAGTGATAACAACGCACGCCATTCAAGTCAACAAAAATAATTTTCTATAAAATTGCCTATGTTTCGTTTCCGCATGTCGCATGTGTCTCCTCTTCAATTGTTGCTGAATGGAAAAATATTCTCTTCGTTGCATAGCAAAATTTATCTAGGTAAACAAATATCCGGGTCGCACTATCGATTTACCTCAATCGGAGACGAGAGACTTAACTTAGCTTGCTTTAACGGGAGTTTACATTGATAAATTGTTATATAAATGTATAGAATCGTGTTTCACGATTTTTGCATTCGCATTTCGGCCCATAAAATGTAATCATGAACACAGCAAAGAATATGAACAGAAATCTACGGCATCTGAATCGAATGAAGCCAAAGAGCACAACTGTATTTGAGTTGCACGTACAGAATGATTTGGCGTTGTAATGATGTTGCTGGTTTAACCTTTCCCATTGCGGGAAAATTATTTGTGCAGTGTTATTTAATCGATTGCTCGGAGCATTTTAGATGATCGCAGTCCTATTCCAGATTTGCCCGTCGAAAGGTAGCTTTAAATTGAAAGTTGTAAGTGTAAGCATCGAACACAAAACTGGAGAGTCATTTTTTATGAATAAATGTCTCGTAATACAATCTTGATTTTTTTGAAATATAAAATGCCAAAGAGTGTGTTTACGTTAAAGTGTAATTAAATGTTGAACCTGTTGCTGTGGCTGTGGCTCCAGCTCTTCATTTTCGACTATTTGTGGTTTTGATACTGTTGTTGGACGCCGTGTGTATAGAGGGACGCGTTGTTGGTTGTAAATACCATGTGATAATTGTAGAGGGAAGACTTGAGGTCCAGAATCTATTCCAATCGATGCACTGGTTCCCGGCGTCCGCAGATATTGATTAACTTGTCGCTTATTTTTTGTCTCCAGCACTACTGGATTTTTCATTTCAGGACTACCGGTAGATGCAGTTGCATTTGCCGCTATAGCTGTTTTTAACACAAACGAAACTAAAAAATAAAAGCATTAATACCGTTTTGAACCTAATTTACGAAATGGTTTCATGAAACGGAATCAAATTCTTACGTTCGAAAGAAATAATCAGTAATATAGAATAGGGCATAGAAAATGCTAAAATTCCATTTATGGTCCATATATGGACGGTACGCATCACAAACTAATCACCATTAACTAAACATCGTAACGGTCTGACTCTGGTTTCGTAATGTCCAAAAAATTATAAGTTATGCAAACTTGTTTCTGAAACATGATAAGCGATCTATTTGACTGCAAATGGATCGCTTATTATGTTTAACTTTCTTCAGATTTTTTTGTTTACGACAGATAATATTGGAGGAGCACACTATCATTATTTGTTGAGCATGTGGAGTAAAATAAACTAAAATATTTGATTACATGTTGCGAAACGGTCGTGTAATTTCAAATTAATTTTGCTAAATTCAGCGAAGCGTTTGAATCAAAGTCACAAAAACGATATTGATCATTTCAATGGCTTTTTCTCTTTCTCGCTCTTGTGCAATAAAAGTAAGTGTCGGTTATACTTTTTAATTAGCAATGTCATGAAAAACGGTAAATTAACGGTTATGGCCGTTTATATGCCTCCCGATACTTCATTTAACGTCAGAGCGAAATTTTGATCGAATTTCGGAATTTTCTGCTTTATCAACACCGGGCGGATCCGCTTTCTGAATGGAAAGTTTCACATTTTCAACATGTTGGTCAATAAAAATGACAGTTTGGTAAAAATCTTATTTTGATTTGTCAAATTCAATCTTACCCACAATCTCTCTAATGCCATTGTAATAAAGAGAAGTCGATGCATTGATGTGTGATCTCAAGTGAAATCGAATGTTGATGAAGTTGAGTACTACTTACATATACGATAATTTTTCTGACCATTCACACTTTATTTCGCAGAAGAAAAGTAAGTATACGTGGACACTGGACACGCACATAAAGTGTATCACGAAAAATCAAATTTACGCGAGACGACCATTGCAAATTAAATACGATATGATGATTGTAACGAACAAAGTGGAATGAAGATTATGCGGTGAGCACACCGAATGCTACGAAAGCGTCGTTAACGTTTATCAACTGCGCGAAAAACAACAACAACAACAACGAAAACTTGATTCCAATATATAAAAAAGAAAACGAGTTTCAATTTCATTTTCATCTATTGTGCTCTCTGTGTATTTCCAATTGAATTATGTGACTTTTTTGCATAGAGTGGCCGTTCATACCAATGTGTTGTGTTTCGATCCGCAATCTCGGGAACAAAGGCTTTTTGTATCTAGTTTGATACAATTTTCACTTTTTGTCTTGAAAGAATGGAATCAAATGTAGGGACTGCAACCAATTAGCTTAACAATGCCTAAAGATCGGTCATCGTTTTTCATTCAAAATTTGTATGGTTTCTATAGCATTCACTTATTGATACGACATTGACCGTACACAAGTAAAGTGATACACTGACTATGAAATGATGCGCGATTGTCGAAAGAAATTAGAGATCATAACCATTTGAAAGTATTTATTGTATGCTCTTCCAATTTCTGTATGATATTTGATGACATTCTTCTTAAAATTCCAATTATTTGCATTGTGTCCAGTATTGTTCAGTTAAAATTGGAATTAAATTGATACGAATTCATTTTATGAATTTCATAAATCATTATTGCTAAACGGTTATTGATCCGAAACGAAACTAAAAAGTCCAACATCATAAAATTTCTCAGGAGCTTATCGAAACTATAAAAAAACTCTAAGATTAACACAATTTGTCATTATGAGCATCGGTCTTCATTCAATAAATATATAACAAAGCCTTGACATAGCATAGTCACGATCAATATGGTTGTGCTCTACGGTCAAACAGGTTTTATTTTTCTTGTTGTTTTGTTTTATATTCGTTTAAATGCATCCAGTGCTAATGATCCCTTACGGCCACTATTCATGCCATTATAAATATGGTTAAGAAGAAGAAATAACGGTCCAATGTTACGTACTGAACGTTAAAAAAAAACAAAAAGTTCAAATCCTGAACGAACATGGTGCAGCATGCATTTTTGAATTTTCACTCACAATATAGAGCAAAAACACGTTTTTTTATAATGGCAAAATGAGTTTTGATATCAACGATTGAATGAAACGCTACTGCATACAAATTCTTTGTATGGAAATTTGATAGAACTGGATCGCTATGCACTTACCAACTAACAATTGGCAATAGAACTGCATTTTATCACGCATATTGATTTTTTTCTTTTTTTCTCTCTCTCGCTCAATAATTATACGAAATCGAAATTTGTTGATTCACCAAATTAACTTAAAATTATTTCTGATGATCGTTATTGGATGTTTTTCACAATTGACATTAAAATGAATGATTTAAACTAGTTTTATAGATCAACACGGCCGTTGACCTGACACTTCAAACTTTAGTTTACAAACTTAAGTGGTATAGACTGGAAACTAGTTTGACTCCTCAAAAAATTCACTCTTTTTTTCGGAGCAATTCACATTGATTTTCATTCACTGTTTCTGCATACATACATTTTTCATATGTTTTTCATACATTTTATTTTTCTATAGAAAAGTAAAAGTGTTCTTTTCCGTTCACTTCATCACCACTTGAAGTAAAAACACAAATTTTCGATTTAATATTGTTGAAAAAAAAACAATAAGAAGTTACTTGTTTATTTGGTTTTTATAGCTTGAAGGATTTATTTGATTCGATCTTGAGTGCAACGTAGTTGTTGTCCGTTTGACGATCACCACACAAATCGACCCGAAACCTACAAGTGCCAGGTATTTATAAATTTTCTAACGGTGTGATTGCGAGCAAAGAGAAAGGCTTCAAACGTAAACGTACGAACTGTAATGCAACGTAAAGCATTTAACCTGCGCGGTGGCAGCACTCCCAATCAGCTGCAAAAGTACCAATGTTCATCGCTGTGCATATGTACATACATGTTTGTGTTTGTATGGTGATGAAGACATTACAAAAATGAAAACGACTGAATTTGCCAACTTACTCTGGAAAATTCTCATGTATGCAACTTTGCTAAATTTTGTGAACATAATTTTGCAATCGTTAATTTGTAAATGAAATGAAAATAAACATTGAAAAATTTAACAAATTTGTGGGTTTTATTTACATGAGAATAAATGGCAAAGCCAATTTTTGAACAACGTTTTTTTATTTCCTACACGTTCATTTGGACACTCGTAATCTTTCCAACAAACGAAAATACCAAATGTAGATACTAGGGGACCTGAAGACTGATTTGAAAAAAAAGTGATTGTTACATTTCGCTTTCAGTGTCCAACGAAAAGCATCTCTTTCCGTACACTAAAGACTGATTCGAAAGTTAAATTTCAAGCACGAAGTTGGTTCGAAAAAGAAACTCCATTAACCGCAGAACACAATTCATTTATTTGGAATTTTCTTTTTTCCACTATTGTACGTCTTCATTGAAATGATATCAATAGCTATTGACATTTTATAGCCGTATATTTCAGTGAATCGGAAAACGGCTCGAATTTCAAATGGAATTGAAAGAAACTCAAATTTGTTGCATCGGCCAAGCGTGGCCGTGGCAGCAACGGTATGACTTCTTTTATTGATTTTCCTGTTACTAGCGGGTACTATTTATTCTACTCGAATAGAAATGATCTTTTAATACGTTGATTAAGCGTTACTTAAAAATTGCCCACAAAATATATTAGTTTTCTTCTTCTTCAAATGTCAGATGTAGATAAGCGATTTCATTCTGTGACATGAATTTCCTGAGAAAAGAAACGATACCACAAAGGTGAACGAAATTAGGTTTGAGCCAAATTACATCACCATTCTCTTCAGAATCAGCGTGTGAATTTTTTCCCCATAGTCGCATTGTTGTTGTCATCATAATTTTTACTACCATAAATCGTAAGCGATTGAGTCATAATCGAGTATACGGTCACGGTGTCTAGCCGTGCATGCTTGCTTAAAACATAGAGTTCATTCAAATTGAACGCCGTTGTAATTTTTTTCATTTTCTTTGTACTGTTGTACTGTGTTTAGGAAGTGATTCAGCGTTCAGATTGCTTCAAAATGGTTCAGTTTTTAGAAGAGACGAAATTGTCGTTGTGAAAATAATGTCGAAGACTGATAGATTGTCACACATAAGTTACATAAGTGGTTTTGGATATAATACACACTGAATTGAATGCGACCGAGAGGAGTAGAAATGTCACAAACACTCTTGATTGGCTCTGGCTATTGTTGGGAATTTTCTCAATAAAGAGTAAAATGCCCTGCAGTTTTGTTTTGTAATGATTCAATGGAACTGATTACGTTAAAGGAAGCAAATCATTTCCGGGTCAAATGTAAAGACATTGCAAGTTACCGTAACTACATAGTTTTTCTTCCGTTGTTGGTTACGTTAACATTGAAAATCAGTCAGTACTTATTATGCAATTCTTAATAATTAGCACCATTAACCTATGGTCTTTGAACCGAGATATTTGTCAATAGAAAAAGCGCACTCAGTTATATTACGAGAAATTAATGTGTATCAAAAAATTAGCGCTATTCGTTGAATTTATATCTCGAAAATAAAATTTCTAATTACAACCAACATTTTTGTAATACAACCAACATTATGTGTCACATGTGTCTTGTGTGACACTAAAATTATATAGAAAGGAGTTTCAACTCACTACGACTGTGATTTATTTATTTATTTCCTAACAATGTTTCATATTCGAATTGTGTATTACTTTTCACAACGAATTTTAACATATTCCAAAATATAATTGCGGGTGAGTTTATCGAAATTATATATATAGTTCAGTGTTATTCAGTATTGATCGCTATTCAGCCGTCCCGACGCTTGAAAGCATTTATGATCTACATAACTATTAAAATGTCTGTGATTATATCCAACAATGGCGAGACATTTTTAACTTTTCCGTACTCATAGTATTAAAGGAAAAGTATAGGAATTGGCTTCCAAAACCTTTTACGCAAACCTTTGATAAATTGATTGATGACTTTTGCAGTCATTAAGGCTGTCACTACAATGTTAACGCTTCCACTGGCCTTTCATTTTGGAAACCGTTCACATTTCGGCTTCCTACTCATTTCCATGTATTGGTTAGGTTATTTTGTGTTGAAATGTTTATAGACCAAACACTTATTCCAATCAAGGTTTAAATTTTCCCATCCGCTCGATAGAGCCTCCATAGATTGAATCGAAAGAGTTTTCAAAAGAAACTCTTTCAAAAGAATCTTTGCGAAAAAACTTCATGCCATACTTGACATTTATACGATTGTCAAAATGATCGTTTTAATGAAATCAATAATTTCAATAAAATTTAATACAAATCAATTTTTTTAGTTGTTTTTCTGCATAGTATTAAAATATAAATCAAAACCAATCATTTGAATATAGTTTACAGCCGTAATTTGTAGCAGAATATTGAAAATTGTTGCAAAGATTCTTTTGAAAGAGTCTCTTCTTAAAAACCCTTTCGATTCAATCGATGGAGGCTCTATCAAGCGGATGGGAAAAATTAAACCCTGATTCCAATCAAGAAAGACCAACCTATACTTTTGGCCGGCGCAAGATAGCGGTGGCGCCTAAATAAGATGTATTAGCAATTTTCGGTATTTTTAAGAACTATCAATACTTGTTGTTGTTGTCATGACTTTCGCAACAACAAGAAGTATTGATAGTTCATAAACTTGCCGCAGACTCTATTTAGGCGCATCCGCTACTCACTGTCACGTCAAATACATTGGTTCTTATGGCAGAGAAGCACAGGTTGAGAAAGATTACTATAATAGACCAAGAGCTGTTGAACAAAGTTCTATAAATACAAGCTTTATGTCAGAAGCTTGTATTTATAGTACTTTGTTCAACAGCTCTTGGTCTATAATTATTACACACTAAATTGTACAAAAATCAAAAGATCAGGTTTTTCACCACTTTTGGAGTAGTTTTCCTGCAAAACAATTGATTCAGTAGGTTATTTGGCGGTGTCAATAAAAAAAATAGTTCAGATCATCACAAAAAATCTAGCCAAAAAACGACAATTTTGTATGGGAAATACCACAAAAATGCATTTCTCGGAGTTTTCATTAGAGAAAACTGCTATTATTCTTCAAAAAAATTACCATTCCATGAAATTCTCTATAAAATTTTGGTATTTCGTTCGGGGGACTTAGTTACGCATTTTCAGAGTTTTCTCTAAGGGAAACTACCAATATTTTGCGAAAATACTGGGGCTCTTCAACTAAATATAAAGTACGGAAAAGTTCGGGATTTCTAATGCAATTCTTTCTATTTTAAAATGGTATGGGCCATTTGTTCGACGCTGGAACGATTCATACAATGCGCTTGCATTACAGTCAGTATGTCGCAATTGCTCTAAAAGAGATTCAAGTGATCTGATTTCATGTATAGTGTGAATAAGAAATCCACCCAATTTTAAAGTATTGCGAAGTAAAATTGATAAACAACACTTCAAAAACATTAATCTTCCATTACGATGACCGGATGAAAATTAGACGTTTGCTTTTATTTCCTCTATTATTGTTTTCCCCTTTAATCAGTTGATTCCGGCGATGTTTTTCTTTTGAATGTTTGACGTAATTTTAGTTTTAATCGTGTATGTTAATTCCAAGTGAACTGACACCCTAGTGACACTTAGAAGAACTGAACAACAAAAGAATCTTGTGTAACTTTTGTTACACGTTGTTATGCGTGTTAATTCGATAAATTCGTTTTTTGTGCATGGAATCCATTGTTTCGTTTCAAAGACAACATTTCACACTCGGAATTTCTGCGTATTTTCTTCACTTTTGATTTCACATAAAAAAATCGTTTAGTTCTTATATTTAACTAGCTGTTCCCTGCGTGCTTCGCTACGCGTTTTTATTTTCAATATTAACCGGTCGATTTTTTTTCATTTTAGCCAAAATATGAACCACTTTAGTATGTCCGAAATTGTAAATTATATTAAAATGGTTATTTTTTCTGTCTCTTCAATTTCTGAGGGATCATTGCAATCCAACGTAATCGTTTTACTGCTCTATGATTTTGTTATCAATTCAATTTCATTTGTCAACTTATTTCACGAATATCAAAATTTTCAGCTGCTCTTGAAGTTTCTTTTTTCAAACGATTTTCATGGTCATATGGTGTTTCGCTTTCTCGGATATTTTTTAACTTTCTTGCATTAGATGTTTTTTTCCCAATATACATATAACTTTTTTTGAAGGCATTTTCAATTATTTATTATTATTCACGCAGAATAAATTAAAAAATTAAGTTGAAGTGACAACAACGTCAAATAAGTTGACAAATGAAATCGAATTGACAACAAAATCATAGAGCAGTAAAACGAATACTATGATGATAGAGGAATTTTTTACTTTTTTTAACATGG